CCCCCAGTCCAGCCTGTTTTCTCCCCAGGTTGCCTGTCCTGCCAGAGGGGTGCAGCCTGAATGCCACCTGCCCGTGTGAGGGTGGGCCTCAGGGTGCCAACTGCAGCTGCCAGGAGGGCTTTGCTGGCCAGAGGTGGGTTTGGGGTGAGGCCTGGGAAGTGGCCGCTGAGTGTAGAGAGCTGGGCAGGGTGGGTAGAGTGGGGTACTCACTGCCTGAGTCCTCCCTGTCATCACATGCCTGACAGCCCCCCTCGGTCACTTTGTGGGACTGCCCCCCTCTGCTCTGCAGACCCTGGAGCCCCTTGCACAGGCCACCTGCCCCAGGGCCGCCAGGGGAGGCTGTGAGAGGGCAGGCTCTGGGCTGCTGCACACACAGTCAGCACCACCGGGCCTCGCACAGGCTCTCCTGTGCTTTGGTGGAGTGAGCCATTCTTGGCCATGAATGCCAGGGCAGAGGAGGCAGCCGGTGATGGAGCTCTCGTTCAGCCTCGGCACCCGCAGGGCCCGGCCAGGCGGAGACAGTGAATGGAGGAGCTTCAGTGCCTGGGAAGGGGCTGGAGGAGCCGAGGATGGCAGCTGGGGAGCAAGAGGCCGCGTGGGAGGAAGCGGGTTCCTGCCCCCACCCTCTTCTCTGCCTCCCAGGTGTCAGCTCTCCTGTGAAGCCAACAACCCCTGCCTGAATGGGGGCACCTGCCGGGCGGCCGCTGGGGCGTATGAATGCGTCTGCAGCGCAAGGTTCTCCGGCCCGTTCTGTGAAGTGGTGGTGAGTTGTGCCGGAGGCTGTGGGGTTTGGGACTTTATGAGCTGATGTTGGGGGGCGGGGAGTAGTGGTGGTGGTGGTGCCGCACCTGGAGCTGTTCCTGGACCAGCCTATCGTGGGGTGGGCGGCAGCAGGGGAGACTCAGTCCGTTCCATGAACCCAACCCAGGAGGCATTTTCACTCCAGGGAGAGCCCCGAGGTCCCCACCCATCACGCTGGGGCCTGGCGGTGAAGTAGTTGGTGGCTCCCTGAGGGGCGGAGCTGGCCCTGCAGGCATGAACCCACAGTGGGTGCTGGCGGCAGGGGAGGTGGGCAGGGAAGTCTGGGCAGGAGCCTTGATCTCCGCAGGCTTCTGGCAGACTGGGCCATAAACCTGCACATTCCCTCCGCTTCTGGGGACTGCTTCCTTTCAAGTGGAACTTTTACAGCCCCTGGCTCCCCACCCACCTCCCCAGAGCCCGGGGAGATAATGGCTTTACAACTCCCCCAGAAGTGCTGGGTGGCGGCTGGTGAGGGCCCACTTTATCTGCAGCCTCGGACCCTTCTCCAGGGCGGTGTGCTGGGCCTGGGACCCAGGTCTCAGAGGGAGACCCCTGGCTCTGGCATCCCGGATTTCTGTGATTCCGGAACTTCAGAATTCGAGCCTTGCAGAATCCTTGATGGGGAAACCCTGGGGGACTGGGAGATGGAGAGGAGGGCCCCCCAAAGCCTGGTCTAGCTTCCATAAAGGTGGGGGCAGGGGTGGGGAAGGCCCTGCTCGATTCTGAGCTCGCCATCAGCTAGTCAGCCAGCCTCTCCGGCTGTTGCCTAAGGTTCTCCCCCTTTGGGGTTGAGCCTGGTCTCCATGGCCACTTTCAAACACCAGGCCTCCCTGCAGGATGGGGAGGACACCAGACAGCCTCCACTGCAGACCAGAGGTGTCTGCAAGTCCCCGTGGCCGCAGATGGAGCGGGTTTATTGTCGGGAGGAGGAGCCAAATGGCAGGGCTGGGCACTGAGGCCCACCCTGGCCTCGGACAGAAGGGCCTTGACCCAGACTTAGAGCTGAAGGATGGCGGCATGGTGTTGGGGGCAGATGGAGAAGTGCCAGTCCTGGCTTGCCACCAACTGGTCCCGCGTCTGGGGAGTCTGGGCAAAGCCTGTTTTCTCACCTCCTACCCACCGTGTGCCTCACATGCAGGCCCTGCTCCCAGCTTTTTGGGGAACACCAGGGAACAAGTAAACCGGACTCTGAGCTCCAGGGAGTGAGGGATGCTCTTCCTGCTGCCTCACTGTGTGGTGTGAGGGTTCTGTGCCGTCCACGCTGAGCTCGGACTGGAGTCCTGCGCCCCCTTTGCTCTCTCCTGCCCCTCCCTTACCTGAGGCCTCTTTGTCCTGTCTCCTGCAGAAGGACCTGCCGCTGCCACTGCCGTTCCCGCTGCTGGAGGTGGCAGTGCCTGCAGCCTGCGCCTGCCTCCTCCTCCTCCTCTTGGGCCTCCTCTCAGGGATCCTGGCAGCCAGGAAGCGCCGCCAGTCAGAGGGCACCTACAGCCCGAGCCAGCAGGAGGTGGCCGGGGCCCGGCTGGAGATGGACAGTGTCCTCAAGGTGCCGCCCGAGGAGAGACTCATCTAGGCCTGCTGCCCGCGGCACCTGAGGCCACAGACAGTTTCTCCTTGGAGACCTCGGAGGCTGCTTCCGGGAGGCTTTGGGACGTGCTGCCCCTCCCAGGCCTGGGGAGCTGCTGCAGAGCCCAGCGTACCTGCTGGGATGGTGTCCCCTCTGCTGGCACCCCCTGCCTCTGTCCCTCTGTGGACTGAGGGAAAGGGGGGCACTCAGGGCAGCAGAGAGGACCTGGCAAGGATGGACAAATCCATCGGACCCACCGGGCCGTGCCTCAGCAGCTGTGCAGGGCACACGTGGTGCACAGGGTGTGTTCAGGTGTGTGTGTGTGTGTACACGTGTGTATGTGTACACATGTGTGCACAGTATGGGCGTGTACCTGGGGACTATTGATCTGCAGATATGGGTGTGTGTGCTGGACTGGGCTCATGGGCGTGTCCACATCTTTGCTGTGTGTGCAGGGGACTGTAGTGGGTGCAGGCTATCCCACGAGGGGACAGTTGGGGGACAGGGACAACCTTCACCTCTCGGACAGGGGCAAGCCAAGGCCGCACACTCTCGTGGAGGTCAGGCCAGGACTGGCCCAAGGCCGCAGGCCCAGCTCCCAGTCTCCCTCTGGAGGCAGCTGGGGAATTGGGGCCACAGCCAGTGGCCAGGGCTCCTGGCTCCCTGAACAAACGCTGCTTCAGAACCTGTCTGCAGGACAGACCACAGCCAGGCAGAGGCGGCGCGGAGGCTGGATGCTGAAGTCACTCACCTCTGGTCTGCAGTGGAGGCTGTCTGGTGTCCTCTTAGGGGTCAGGAGTTGAGGGAAAGACTGGGGGAGGGGACTCCCCGAGGGTGATGGGGATGAAGGAGCAGCCCTCCCCCTCCCAGCTCTGGGTTTCCCAGCTCTTCTGTGGGACCACTCCTTCACCTGCAGCCCAGGCCCTCTCTAAAGGCTTCTGGAATCCCCGGGGAGGACTCGCGGGAGGCCCCGGTGTGCGCTGGTGCCGCTGGTCGGCTGGTCTTGAGTCGCACATGCAGGCACTTTGCTTCCCCTCTTCTCCTCGGTGGTGCCCTCACACGGTCTCTGATCCCCGAGGAGAACCTACCTGCCTGAGTGCGTGGCCTCCGCAGAGCTTCCAGCCCTTCCGTCTGGCCTGTGTCCCAGGCCAGTGCCTCCTGTGCCAGCGTGCCAAAGCCAGGACACCCCCCCTTACACTTTTAGAGGGTCACCTGACCCGCTCCTGAGAGGCAGGAAGATCTGAGGTGGAGCCGGGGTGATGGGAGGGGGCTGGAGAAGAGGGTGCAGGTGGCAGAGGCTGGTGGGAAAGGCCGTGAACACTAGGGAAAGGGGCTCACCTTGCCATAGGGGGGCCACCTTTCCCCATGGTTCCTGGGAAGGGAGAGAGGGAACTTCTGGTACCAACCACGGAGCCACAGCACTGCTGTGGTTAAGATTTGGCCAACCTTTGTTCCTATGGAATCCTAAAAAAGGATATTTTTATGTGGAACCCCAACATATCAAATCTGGGCCACTCTTTTTTAGGGGGAGTCCCCTGGTTTCCTCTTTGCTCCTAAGGCACCTGTCATTCTCGAGGCAGCCTGGGACGGGGGAGGGGACAGATAATGGGTGTGCTTGTCACCCACTCTGGCTGCATCTCCCTTTGTAACACGGACAGGACAGATACCACACCGGCAGCCTGCAGGGGCCCGGGTTCCTCCCTTGCTAGTGAGATCTGGGGGAAAATCCTCCAGATATCCCTGAACTTGTTCCTTCCTGGGCACCCTATACACCACGGGTGACCCGCAGCCCTACTCTGGGGACTCAGCAGGTTTGGGACCAGCCGACCTGATGCCCTGCTTGGGAGGGGAGGCGGAGTTGGCTCAGAGGCCTGAATGAGAACAAGCCTGGGAGTGGGCCAGGGGGTTCAAATCCTTCCCTGGCCGCCGAGCCCGGCCCCCGCCTCCACAGAAGGGGTCCTGAAGATGCTGACACCTCCTTCCTTCCCTCCCTTCCTCAAGGACACGGGGATACCAGCCCTCTCCCCCAGAAGCTCTCCCTGAACGCTCACACGGACTTCCTCCTTTGGTTCGCTCATGGGAACGAGGAGCAGCCCCCACCCCCGCAGCCAGAGACCACGGTGGGCTCCGCTTCCCAGGGCCACCAGTGGATAGGCCCACCGGGTGGGCTGCCCTGTCTCCAGTGGGGTTCAGAACTGGAATCTACAGAAATACCTGAGTGTCCTAGCTGCATCCACAGCCCCACCTGGCACCCCTTCCCCACCCCTCTCCCAAGCAGCCAGGACGCTGGGAGATTGAGGAGGGGCCATGGCTGGCTCTGGAGGGAGCTGTGTGCGGGACCAGCAGCTCCTCACACCCCTCGTCAGAGCGAACCTCAAGGCCAGGCCTCCCTCACCCACCCAGGGGTGGCCTCCCAGGCCTCAGTCACCAGCAAGGCTCCCTGGGGTTCTGGGGACCTCCAGAGACCTTGCCCATCAGATACCTCTGAGATTGTCTGGCCAACACAAATAGGAAATGAGAAATCAGGTCAAAATGCTCACAATTTCCTGCATGTCTCAGATGGTTGTTTGCTTAAATGCTTGGGTCACATTTCAACTTGGTTTATTGAAACTAGTCAATTTCAAGATTCATTAAATCAATAAAGTAAAAAGGAAAAGAAAGAGAAACAATAACAAAACATCAATTCAGCTTTGGTGACATTGGCCTCAGGAATTCCTTTGCTGGCGAGATTGCGAGGGGGCAGGGCAGGTGCTCCAGCCCTCCTCCGTCCCTCTGGGCTGCTACTCCCCTCCCCGGCCTGGAGGGGGGCACAGTGCCCGCTCCTTCCTGACCCTGGGCACTTGGACTCCTGGGTCAACTGGCCTTCCAGTTGGAATGGTGCCTGCTGCTCAGCTCTGCCCCTAAAATCCCCCAAGACAAGAGGCTGAGCCCCATTAGATAGAAACACAAGACCAGGAGAACCCACATGATCAAGGGAGAGCGCTAGCAATGGCCTGCCTCCTGCACTCAGATTCATCTGCCACTATTTCTCTGTCTATAAATCAGAGCTGCCAGCCCACACCAGACTGGCTGGGCTGGAGTTGGCTATCACTAGGGATCTCCAGGATCTCTCACCCCCCAACTCGCAACCAAGCCAGAAACAGCTGAAGTTTGGGGCGAAGACTCACGAAGAACCAGTGTGTGTATTGCTAGAGGGCTGGAAATGCTCCGCCAATGGATCCCACTTCAAACTCCAAACCACGCGACTCGCAGACAAACTCGGGCTGCAGGTACCACTGACACCTGTGCCTGTTGCGGTGGGTGTCCAGGGCCGGGCCAGGCAGGACAGAACAGGGCTTGGGAGGAGAGGCCTGGAGGTTTCCAGAGGGAAAGCGAGTAGGACTGGTCTGGGGCAGTCATTGGCCCAGCTGACTTTTTAGTGCAAAACCCAACAGGGGTGCTGGGGAGAGGTGGTGGCAGGTGGGATGGGCGCCCAGGGGGTCGATTCCCGATTCCCAAAGGCCAGACCTCCTTGGGGAGGGGGAGGGAGAGGGGAGCAGAGAGGGTCCCATCCCTCCTCACCAGCAGAGCCTGGGTAGATCGGAAAAGCAGGGCCGCTGGCCGGGAGCGGGGCCGCGCACAGTCCCTGCTGGGCTTGGCCACCCCGCCGGCCTCAGTGCTGGCTCACTCGAAGGTCTCCCACTGCTTCCTAAGCTGCTCCACGGAGCCGGGGGCCTGGGCCGGGGCCGGGCTCACGTCCTGCTTGGTTTTCCACAGCAAATCCTCAAAGGGGTCTCTGGCCTCCGGAGTAGCAGAGGGCTGCAGTGCTGGCTCCAGGCCCTGGGCGGGTCTTGGAGGAACGAGGGGGGCGTCTCCAGACCTCAGGGCCAGCCCCTGCTTGGCCTCAGCAGCCCTGGCACTTGAACGGACCAAGGGCAACGTTCGGATCCTTGAAGGGGCAGCTGTTGGGGGGCCCAGTGGTTGCAAGGGGCTGGTGTGGGCACCCATGGGCATCTGGCCAAAGAGATTGGGCATGGAGAGGGCAGACAGGCTGGGCTGAGATCTATGTGGGGGGCAGAAGCCAGAGCTGGACAGCAGGAGGCTGGGGGCAAAAGTTGGGCCCAGGGAAGCAGGAGGGGCCCCGAAAGGCCTGGCCGGCGTGGAGACCAGGGACACGGCGGGCAGTGCCGCTGGCACAGATTGGACAAACGGGTTGAGCGATGGTTGTGGAAATGGGGTGGGGGTCCCTGCGGGGGGGAAGCTGAACTGGGGGGTGAAGGGGGTAGCTACATTTGTGGCTGTAGGGCCTGGTGGAAGGGTACTGTCTGCCCTGGCTGTGCTAAGTGGGTCCAGGAGGGCCAGCAGGGCATCGCTGCCAGTGGCCGCAGCCCCCGGGGCCAGGCTGAGAGGCTGGAGCGGTTTGGTGGGGCCTTGGGGGGCAGCACTGGGGAGCGGGGCCGGGCGCCTGTCCGGTTCGGCCTGCAGCCACTCTGAGAAGTCACCGAGGGCGGCCCCGGCGGCCGGGAGCTTGGCTGGGCGGGCAGTGGGTGGTGGGGGCATGATGCCCAGCTCCGGGGTCTTCCTGCCCTGTGGCCGGGGAATGGTGATACTGCCCGGAGCAGGGGCGGGTGCTGCCTCCTTGTCGCAGAGGTTCAGGATGCTGTCCCGGTTCTGGGGTCTGTGCAGCAGGGCCGGGGCGTTGCTGAGCAGGGCCGAGGGCTCCTCGGGGGAGGGGGCCTGGGGCTTGCTGCAGATGGCCATGTCGTCCTGGCCCAGGCTCCAGAGCTTGTTGTAGGGGTGAGCGAGCCTCAAGGCCAGCGGCATCCCACGGCTCCTGTTACCCCTGCCCAGGTCCAGCCTCTGTAGGAGGGAAGGGAGGCGGTGACCACAGGCTGATGGGACAGACAGGAAGGCAGCACACTCCCCCCACCCCCCGCCCATGTGCTGGGCAGGGGCCCGGGTTAGCCCCCTGGGACTCAGAGCAGCTCGGGTCTCAGCCTGGTCACCAGCAGAGAGCCCGGGGGCGGCAGGACTCTAAGCCCACCTGCTCTGTATGGCACGAAGGGTCCCTGAGAAGCCCTTGTCCCTTAAGCCGGGTTGCCAAGTAGTCTTAGGAGAAAGGACTCATTCACTGACCATCACCTGTTGGGCCCTTTTTACTTTTCAAAACGTGTGGGCACTTTCAGTCACCTGTGAGGCCAGGAGGGTGAGGGCCTGGGCGAAGGCACACTGGCTGGGGGCAGGGGCTGGGCTCAGGGCCCCACTCAGCCACTCCCCAGCTCCACGCCTGGCCTCACCTCCTTTCTCTTGGCCTGAGGGGTGCATGTGAGTCATGGATATGCGGGAGCTCAGCGAGTTCCCCGTGTGACCCTGACAGCAGCCCTATGGGCCAGTGAAGAAACGGGCACTGAGGGGCATGTGACAGGGTGCAGGTCACAGTGGCAGGCCAGGACTCGGCAGTTCTGATCCAGTCTCTCCTGGCGGGGTGCTGGGGAGAGCGGCCTGGGCACAGATGGAAGTGGGACCGACTTCCATCAGCCTAGCATCTTCCCCCAGTGATCACTGAGGGGGGCCGGGAGGGGGGTGGCCGCTGGCCCTCCTGGCAGGGTTTGCAGTGAGACCGATCCTGGCCCTTGGCTGAGGACTTGGAGAGGCTGCTTTTTCCTCTGTCACGTGAGGGTACCTGCAGCAGGTGTGAAAGCTCCAGTCCCAGCAGGCCCGCCCCCTCCTCCACCTCCCCCGTACCTGATAGTCAAAGGTGCCCGACTGCTCCCTCAGGTCTTTGGGAGTTCGAAGGTCCTCCAAGCTCTTGGCCTGGCCCAGGGGCTGCAGAGGCACCTCCATGTCCAGGCTGCTGAAGATGTCTTCCAGGAGGTCCACGCTGGCCGCCCGGTCCGGTGGAGCTGGGGCGGGGCCCACGGGCTCCCTCGCTCGCTGCTCGGGACTCTCTGCCTCGCCTTCTGCGCTGTCCGACTCCTTGAGGGTCCGATAGGGCTGTGGCCTGGGAAGAGCAGACAGAGCAGGCTGGATTCTCCCCCAGAGCCCCTGTGGGAGGAGCAAACAGTCCCCACCTTCAATCTTCCAGGTCTTGAGGCTCCCACCCAGGAGCCTTGGGGACAGGAGAGCGTCCTGAGTGCAGGAGTCTGGGCAGTGGCAATCTGACAGACCTGGGGCTAAATTTGAGTTCTGTTGGTCACAGTGGGAACATGGGCAAACACTTTGGCTCTAACTGGCACTGGGGGACTCACCAAGTTCCTCCCAAACCGTAGGACCCATCAGATAAATGGCTGGTGGACTCACAAGCCATTCGGACAAGGCAGAAGGAACAGGACACGACTGGAAAGGGAACAAGCAGGCAGACCCAGTCCTAAGCTTTGGCAAACAGGTCTTGGGAGCAGCTTTTGGGAACTGAGTCGGGGAAACTCCCTAGGGCAGCTGCCCAGCACACCCCATGATCTTCAGGGGGAGTCTTGGGCTGACCTTGGTTGCAGCTCTGATGGTGCCATCTCTTGCTGTGGGGCCGTGGGCAAGTCCCTTATCCTCTCTGAGCCTCAATGGCTTCCCCATTCCAGAGTGCACCTCCCTTGCAGGCAGTGGTGGGCATTAGGTGAGCAGTGCCTGGTGCACAGCGGGCATGCAGAGGCTAACAGCATCATGTACGTTCATGCACCAGAACCTTGCAGCTGGACCCCTGCTCAGTGAAAAGGGTTCCTTTCTCACATGCCTGAGCCCCAGGGCACCTCTGCGCATGTACAGATGATGCGGGATAAACCCTGACCTCTAGTGGAGTCCGGGCCAGAGCAGTGTCCACCTCCTCTAACAGTAAGGCTAGGCCCTCTGGGTCAGGCAGAAGCCGCCCATGATTCTAGTGAAGTGGGGGAAGGTGGCCACCTGGTGGTAACAACAGCTCACTTGCAGAAACCAGGCAGGAGACAGTGGAAGGAGGGGGCTCAGTGAATAGTCTGGACTCTTGGCAAGGACTCCATGAACCTATACCATCTTACTAAAACAACACAAGCAGCCAAACCCCTATCTCATAGATGGGAAGCTGAAGCTCAGAGAGGCTAAGTAACTTACCCTATGTCACACAGCACTTTGGAAGAGGTAAAAATGGAAGCCAAGTAGGAGAGAATTTAAAAGTCCCTGGCTTAATGACTAAGCCATCTGCACAAGGAAGTAAAGGACCTTTAATCAAGTTTGAACACAAAGAAGGAGATAAAGAAAAGTCAATGTGCTCCATACACTTAAGGAAATAGTACTAATGAAAAGAAGCCATTTGTTTTAAGATGGGCCAGTTTTTGTGTAAACATGCACAAAAGCCTACATTCTCATAGGTCTTGGTTAAAGGAACGAGCGTAGCCATTATTTAAATATTTAAGGCACATAAATAAATAAATAAATAAATAAAATACTGTTGGCACCTATTTGTTTAAAGAGAACATGGGCCTGCTGGACTCTGGGGTGTGTGTGTGTGTGTGTGTGTGTGTGGGGGGGGTCCTTGGATGTCACCTAGAGTGCCTTTACCTGTAAGGTGGTTTTAAGGTTGGCACCTGGGTGAACATTTCTTATTCCAGTGGCTCTTAATTAGTAGAAATAACAGCTGATACATTAAGCCTGTAGTATGATAGATACTATTGCTATGGACAAGACAATTTTAAAAGTTAAAAATTTAAGGAAAAAGAGTCACTGTATGGAAAGGTGGCCTGAGAAGCCTGGGCCAATACTGGCGAAGGCCACCCTTTCTAAGGGAGGGGATCGGTGTGCCTGTGGTCCCAGGTGAGCCAGTGCCAGAAAAGGCCAGAACCCTCCTTCCCTCCCCCTGGGGTGGGGCACAGGGGCAGAAGCAGAGCCATGGGTTATCAGGTGCCCGGAGCAGGGAGAGGGGAAGAATCCCCTCTTCTATAAACTCACTCCCTGGGGGTCACGTGGGCCCCCTGGGTTTCAGCAAAGGGCAGGTGCCTTCCCTTAAAGGGTCCCATTAAAACACCACAACTTGTTAACAAACACTGACAAATGCTATCCATTGCTCAATCCCAGCTCTGGAAAACCGGTGGGCAGAGGGGCAAGAATTGGCAAAAAGGGGCCTAGAAAAGCTTAATTTGGGGTGATAGTTGGATTGTGGTGGACCTTCTTTTTTATTCCAATTCATAATCAGTAGGAGGCTTAGCTATACATAACAATGATAAAATTATTTTAAAGTCAGATGGATCAGTAAAATGTTTGCATATGCCAGCATTAATACACACATCCCATAAGCTTTTCTTGTTTTAAACTTGACCCTACATCTCTATGGCTTTCTAAGATGTGCTGAGATGAAGGCCTGGAGCATCACCACAAGACTCATTGTGGCCACCAATTCCACTTACAATCAAGCACATTTCCCTGTATACAGAGAGTGGGGACCCCTGCTACTGCCTCACACCCCATCCCTCTTGCCATCTTGTTCGCTTCATGCCCTATGGGGCTGGCACAATGAACACCCGGAGGTAGCATCTGCCCTCCTGGTTGGCATTGGGGCACCGAAGGCAGCAGCTCTAGACACCCTCCCCACACAAGGGCAAGCAGCCCTGGCCACCCCTCCCCCAGGCCTGGAACCACCCAGCCCAGCTCAGGGAAGGGAAGAAGGAAGGAGAGACCATTCAAAGGGAGTGGAGAAGAAAAAGCTCTCGGTGAAGCCAGGGCTCGGGCCCTCTTCCCGCTGGCTTTCATCGTCAGAAGAGTCCTCGGAGAGGAAGACGGCATAGTGTTGCAAGGGCTTTACCAGGCTGGGACAGAGGAAGACAAGAGAAGAGAACAGTTAGGAGGCACCCTAAGACTCCACGGGGTGGGCGGGACGGGGCCTGGCCTCCCGCTGCAGCCTTCGGTGGAGGCTCCCTAGAGAAGCCGGAGGCATGGGAGCAGGCAGGCCCCTGAGGTAAGGAAGCTGGTCCCAAACAGAAAAGCAACTGTGTCGTTTGCCACACGTGTCAAAAGCCTTATACACACAATCCAGTCACCTCTGACCTGACAATCCTACTGCCATCTAGCTAACCCTAAACATGACCAAGATTGCCCACAGTACCCCTCACTGCCATGTTTGTGATATTAAGACATGAAACAATCTACACATAGAGCAACAGGAAGCTGGTGAAGTGAATGATGGCCCTGGTGGCTGCCTCCCAGAAACTATATATATAAAAGCCCAAGCAACCGGCCTACGTGGCTGAAAGCTATGACACACACTGACCACCAGGGGGCAGACGCTCAATGAAGGAGTTGCTGAGCGACAGCAACTTTGTAGAGTGTCCTCTTGCACTCGGGGACCCCTTGGAGGATGTTGGACTGCCAGTTTTGGCCCAATCCCTGCAAGCCAGGCCAAGGAATCCCACAGACACCGGCCCAAGTGCGCTGGCCGGGGAGGTTGGCTCTAGGGTGTTTTCATCTCTTCTTGCCCAGTCCCATCCCACCGGCCACCTTCCAATTAATTTCCGTTCACTGTGCACGAATCCGTTTATAAAGGAAATGTTTATAAAAACCTAAAAACCAGGATGCAATTATACCGTACTCTCTCTCGTCTGCCGATGGGAAGTGCTTAGAAAAAAGGCTGGAAAGGTGTGTCTGAACGTCTACACAAGTAACTGGAGCAGTTTTTCTATTTTTTATTTTTCTGTGTCTTCTAAGTTTTCTACAACGTGCACATCTATTTCAATAATCAGGAAAAAAAGGTGAGGCAGGCAGTGAACCACATGGAGGAGAGCTCAAGTGCCCTTTCAGGTGAGCGGCTGCTCTTGCATCTTCCTCAGATGGCTCTTCAGAGAGTCTTTGTCAATCTGTGATGCATAAATTAAATATTCATCGTTATAAAAAATACATCTCTCTTGTCAGCCACCTGTGAGCTCTGCCTCTATCAGCACAGCCCAGAGAAACTCCATGCTGGCTCCTGTGAGTTCTACATGGGCCAGGCCTACGAGAGCCTGTGCTTAGAGGGAGGGCAGTTGGGCAGGTCAGATCTTGGTTCGAATCTCAACCCTGAGGCTGATGCTTGGGCAACCAGCTGGGAGCGGGTGGTCCATGTCCCTGCCCTGTATAGAGGCTGGGCACATGCAGAGGATCCCCAGGGGCAATGCTGAAGTTTGGGGAGAGGGTGGATAGGAGACACCTGAGGGGGGCTATCCCCCCCCACCACCACCACCACAGCAGTCTCCTTTCTTTGCTTTATGTGATGCAATTCCGTTCAGGTTTTATTCCAGGAGAACATAACATGTCTAAGAAATGCATGGGAACCTTGCTGGAGGGTGAGTGCGGGGCTATGGTCTGCAACCAGTGTTACGGGAACACGCTGTTCTTTCAGAAGGAGCAGGGAGCGGCCCCAGCTGTCACCCCTGGCCCCTGCCTGCCCCCCTCCTCCCTGGAAATCAGCCAGGCGGAGCCATTCTTCCTCCGGGCGGGCGCACCCTGGGAGGGGGCGAGCCATAGCGCGCCTCTCCTCTCCTCCCAGGTCGCCTCCAGGGGGCAGGGACACGCCTTGGTCCTTCCTGGACTGGAGAGCATCGCTCAGGCGGGCACTTTCCCGGATTCAGGGGGGCAGGAAGATTTCACTTGCAGGACAAGGTGCCCAGCTCCTCCACGGCCTCCGAGACACAAAACAAGGCGCAGGAGAAGGGCCGCCCTGCACACAGCCACCGGGATCCTGTTCCGAGTCTCAAACCCACCCTGTCACTGGCCTGCTCACTACCCACCCGCGAAACTGCTGCTCTGAACCGCCATTTCATGGCGACGGGTTGGGTGGTGAGTAAATCCACTGAGAAAAGCATCGGGAATAATGCGTTCAGACCTCTGTGGATGGCGTACAGACGGGCGGAGTGAGGGCTGCAGAGTGGCAGTGCCAAGTCCAGCTCCACGCAGGGCGGACACGGAGCTGGCCCTGCCCACCTGTGCGGCCTCCTGCCCTCTGCCTGGCCTGCCTGTCTGCCTGGCGCTGCCTGCTCCTGAAGACTCAGCCCGATGGCAGGCTCAGGAGTC